TTGCTAAAATGATAGATTGCGATACAAATCAATCAGATGACAATTAAATGTTACTTGGCATTACTTACCCCCGTTTGACTTTGCAAAAGTCAAAGGCCATGGCTCGATAGGAGAGCGATTTCTCATTCAAATACTTGGCGTAGCGCCGAATAAAGGGAGACATATCGTAACCTGTTGATTGGGCAAATTATAGTATAGATTTTCAACAGCACAGGTCACAAAAATCTTGGACAATGCCAAATACGAAACTTAAAAGGAATGGTCTTTTGGTTAGTTAATTTCGCTTTTAATTAGAAATAACAAATTTTAGTAATAACCAGTAATGAGTTCAATGCCTATAGCCAGATAAGGAAAGTTTTATCCAATTGCTAATAGCTTCTGTATAATACTCACCCATTCTGCCACCAGGAACTCCCATGCCACCATCTGTATAAGGTTTATATTGTTTGATTTTAAATATTTAGTTCGGATAATTGCATTTTTCAAGTTGTTGTTAGCCAGCATATTGTGTGTGGTATGTAGGTCAGTAAGCAGCGCATTTCGATATTAATATTTTTGGTTTAGAAATTGTTAATTAAATAAAAGTACAATGAAGAAGCCAAACGTTCGCGCAGCATTCGTATGAGTTGAATGAGAGAATGAGAGAGGAATGATCAAAATATAGGCATTAGTTAATAATTTATAAAAGGTAATCGATTAAATCGTCGATGCGTTTGAAGCAAATTTTGGACATTTAAAAGGGACGCTTCGTTATACCTTGTACAGTTCCTTTATCCAGAAAGGAGCTGAGATTGAATGTAGAATTGCTAGATGCAAGATATTGCATAAACCGCTGCAAAGATTTTGAAAAGAACAATATGAAAGCTGTTAATTATCATTTAGACAAATAGAAATTGCAAATTATTTGATATGTTTAAAATTCAACCCCATATTTTATCTGTTGTAGACCAATTTATATTTCATTAAAGACTCAATTTGTATGCCACCAATTAATAAAACTTAAGGAACAGACACTAAAAGTAAAATATCATAACGATAAGCTTGGTAATAGGTCATAATAATTATTTACCATTAAAGATAGTCAACAAATGAAAACAAATAATAGGAATCTCATTATGTACGTGACCTCTCCCATATTCTGTACATTAAATCAAACAAAAAGATTACTTTACTTCGAACGCTTAAATGAAAGTAAAAATTTAATTGTAATACGCCCCTAGATACAGATAAATACACAAATACAAACCTCATTGCCATATGCCATCAGATGATGTGTGGTTATCAGCGACTTGTAGACGACAACCCAGTTGGCATTCTGTGAACGCTCGATAAGTAAATTGGCCAGATGAGGTATCGACACATTCGGCTCGTTTGTGCAGTGCACCAAATCTGAAATTATTCAAAGGTACGAAGTTGTATTAATAAAATGCCACCGCAAGATAATACAAAACTTTACTTTGCCTTAAGAAATAACGTAAAATCCTCTATTTCTTAAGCCACGCTTTATATTATTTTTTTATCGCTTAGACGGAATACCCTCAAGTTTATTACTAAGCAATTATAATATAATTTTCTGTAATTTTCCTTTCTTTAATTGTGTGCGTCCAATACAACTTCTTGGTAGGAAAATGTAGAGAAACGATTGATAAAATTGAAAATATTAAAACTTTTGTATACTCTTAGTTTCGAACTTTGGTTTGATATTTATTTTTCTTAAAAGCCAAACATTTCTGAAGAATTAATCACAGAATCCAAATTTGTACCGACAACTTTTTGTTCACTTTCACTTAATTTAATCAATAGTGTAATTATTTTTACCAAAATTAAGTTAATGTTAAGAAGCTATGTACATCAAACATAAAAAGTGAATTTATCTGTTCTACAACGAAACATTTTTTCTGTAAAGATTATGAGTTTTTATTATTATTTTCTTCGCTGCTGTACGACCGAACCTCCCATAAATTTAACAATCTTGTTTTTTGCGTCCCATTATCGGTCGCGCCTCTTCGTCGTTATTGGCTTATCTGCGCTTTCAGTTTGCAACCATGCAACCATTCAAGCTAAATACTGACGGAAAAGTGTCGATGATAAGCACTGAGTCCCATTGTGTCTACTATCATTCGGTTCCATTCAAATTAATTCCCATTTCAGTTGCAAAGTGTTTGTCGCAGAGCAGAATAATTGCATGGGATTCGAGGGGCGTTGTATATGCCAGCGCAGATGTTCTGGCCTTTTGCTTAATTTGGCTTGGGAAAGCTGAGGGGCGCCAGACCAGTGATTCATTCATACATAAATAAGAACAAATTTCAATAAACAGTAAATGTGAAAAATTGATTGGCCCTTGTAAACGAAACTGGCGAGATTCTGAACGAGCACAGTGGGGTGGATCTGTTCCCACATGAAAACGCGTTGAAATCGCAGAGTGGTAAACCATTTTGAATGAGTTATTTAGCAAAATTCTCATCCGTCCTTAACATACTTTTTAAAATTGACTCTGATTCATGTATTTCCAAGTGATTAACAGTGGCTTGATATCAAAAACATAGTTCTGTGGCTTCACAATCCACATTTTTATGCTCTCAAATAAATTATGTAAATATAATATAATAATATAAAGGCAATTGTTGGTCGGGTACGAGTCCCCACTGTAGTTGAAAAGGGCAGCCCATTGATACTTAATCTTAATAATTATTGCCCACTTTTGTAGCTGGTTTAAATATTATAAGATATTCTGTCGGCTTAAAGCTGTTTAAGTATTGTTGTTTGCGGGAGCATACAACTGGTTTTATTATAACTAAAGAAAATAGGTAAAAAGCCTGCCTAGGTTTTGTAAAATGTACGGATTTACTCTGAACTCGGGTTTATTTATTTAGAGTTCTGGTACATGAATTGAACATTACATTTTAATATAAAATTATCATCTTGAATAAACAGAGCACACAAAACAGCATACAGCATATGTGGCCAAGTTTTGGGTTATATTTAGGCAAATGCGAATTCATTGGAAGTTGGTCTGTGGCAACGGCAATACAATGTTTATGTGGCAAGTAACGCCCCACAATATTGCCCTCTTTTATTCCCATTTACTCGTAGCCATATCTGATGACTCATCTGAAAAAAGTTTTGCCAACGAGCAAAATAAAAGGGGGTCACAATGCGAGTAAAACTAACCGAAAACCAGATTCCAACTGGAATGTCAAGATATTGGGATCTATAGAAGTTTTGCAAAATTCAAACGTCTAAGGAAACCCAGCAAATTAGGGAAAAGACTTGTGCATAAATTTAACAAACAACGACACCGCGACAACAACAATCCCTGCTTTCGTAGGCGTTTTAAGCCATTCAAAGCGCCTACAAACACACGTGCAGCCGTGGGAAAGTGACGTAACATTAGAGAGAGAGCGCGTTGGGTAGAAAGAGAGGGGAGTCCAATCAATGACGAACGGAGTCCACAAACAACAGCAGCTGAGCTACAGATGCAATTGTGGGTGGTGGTAGATGTTTGTGGGACTCTGTGTACCGTAATCAGTGGTTTCGTTTTCAGAAAACTTTGTGATTTATCGCACAAAAACAAAGACACGTGAAGATGAAGTGAGAAATCCAAGGGACTCGAACTGGTTGCATCTAAATGAGTAGTTGAATTACTTTTGCAGCGGTTATTAACTGTGGCAATAGTGCTTTTTATTTTAATTACCATTCAATTTTGTATTTTCTTTATTAATTTGTATAGTATTTCTCGCTTGAGTATATTAACATACGTATGCGCTAGAATCATTTGTCTTTTTAATTTTTGTTTTTCACCCTAACCAGTCCAACATTGTATCAATACTATCGCCGAGAGGATTTTAATTTCAGTTAATTTTTTGACAGAAAGTTAGTATTATTGTTTGTATATTAAAATAAATGAATTTATAAGCTTTACAAGAAAAGGAGAGAAATATGGCTGCATTATTTTCGTGGTGCCTATGGTGGAGCAAGGCAGTGCCTCTTTTCTCTCGGTGTGATAACAAGGAAATGTAACGGTGATTTACGCAATGAGAGAGCGAGAGAGAGGGCAAGGGAAAGAGATATACAGGGCCACTCACAGTCCAAGTGCTTCTTCTTCGGGCCAATGCATTCCTCCGTGGTGGCCTTGCAAACGGACTTGGCGAGTCCTTGGCCCGCAAGGCTGTGACGGGCGGCCAGCAGCCTGTCGTTGATCGTTTGCCCTGCCATGGTCATGATGAAGCTGTTGTTGTTCCTGCTCCCGCTCGCTGGCTTTTATTTACTTGATTAATTTAATTATGCACCCAAGGAGCTGACCACACCGACACACACACTCACAGGCAGATACAGAGAGAGGGAGAGAGAGAGAGTCACACACACGTATGGGGCGAGCGAGAGACGGAGAGGTATTGATTGATTGAGAATATTTCGAACGGGAAAACTTAGCTATACGGGCTTCACGAATAAACGAACGGTAAGGATTTAGTGTTTCGTACGACACAATCACTTCACAATTTATCGCCGCGATTAATGCGCTCTCTAACCGGTGCCTAACGCTGAAACGCGATTTTTTAATTCTCTATTTTTCCTCTGCCACAAATCGATAATGGCGACTGGCAAATGGAGCGAGTGTATGAGCAATGTCCTAAAGCGTTCTCAAAGTGGAGCTAACGCCTGATATCGACTTGAATTTACGTCGTAAGATAATAAGATATCGATTGCACAACGTAAGCAAATACGAAACGGTTAAAATTACCTCTATTTTTAATAAATATGTTTTAAAAATGAAAAATATTGATTTTGATGTTAATAACATCAGAATGATATTAAACGCAGATATTGATATTAAAAATATAAATGTTATATAAAGTGCAACGTCGGAGGTAACGCACTACCCTTAATATTAATTTGAAATTTATAAACTTTTAGACTTGTAATTCTCTTACTTTATAAATTGGGCTAAACTTATTATTTTTTTTTTTAATTCAGATTTTTGCTACATTCGATACCCAACTGCCTTCGAAAAGTAGCTAAATTGGTCGGAAGTGCAGCCAAGCCCGCAGCCCATAACGTAACGTAAGGCTATCTGGCAGTTAACAGCAATTTTTTGTTTCGAGTAGGCGGTCATACTGGTCATTAAAATAAATAAAATTATACTAAAAAACAGTAGTTAGCAGAATCAGCAGTCTCGTAATAAAATTGTAAGATGTTGAATGGACAGATTGCACACAGTTATTTGGAGAACTCGTGCACGCTGCTCATACCCCGCCCGCCTGCCCTGAATCAGACCTCAAAGTTGCACCAGCCAGCAGCAGCTGCTGCTGCTTCTTCTTCCGCTGGTGAAGAGTTAAGGCAGGGGGCGGGGTCGGGAGTAGTAGAAGCGGAGGCGTTGCATGTGGATCGCATAAGAAACTGCGATATATTCGTTGACGCGCACGACCTTTATTTCTACGCAGACGTTAAGCTGTACAAGTGAGTCACATCCGGCAATCTGGCGTGCCCACAGCGATGAAATTCCAGCGATATCATTACGCACTTACATTTCCGTTTCGGACAGATTCCACAGCCACCGCACCTTCGACTTACGAGAGCTGAAGACGCTGTTAATAAAGTTCAACACTACGGAGAATCATTACCAAATTTGCCTGCGCTGTCTGCCCCTATCAGCGGGTGCCCAGGAAGGACCCGGTGGCGGAAGGGGAGGAGGCGGTGGTACGGGAGATACAGCCAAGCAGTGGAGTGGGCGCAAAGAGTACATCGCCACTTTCTTGCCCTTACCCACACTGACCGACGCCACCAGTGCCCATTTGCCGGATAAGGAGCATCTGGTCCAGGAATGGAAACTCAAACGAATCACCGATCAGTGCCAATTGCAGCTCGACGGCCAGGAGCGCACCTACAAGTTGACCAACAATTTTGGGTACGGCTATGCCAGCAAATACAGCGGACCGCTGGACACCAGCGAGGTGAGTTTGAATTTATTTTAACTGCTCTTTCGCACCTATGAACGCAGATTTTTTTGCAGCTGGACAAAGCCACGTGCCGCGTTTCGGATCCATATCGCATGAGCCCCATCCAAAGGCGACAAGAGCGTGTGGTCGATGAGATGAAGCGCTTTTCGCGCGAGCAGTACAAAATTAATTTTGTAGAGCTACAGGTTCCGTCCGGTCACCAGAATCCTTTACGCTACAAGCCGAAAATCTACGAGACTTCCATGACCCAGGAACAAGCGCATCTGCTGCACAACATCAGCCGAGAGCAGACAAGAGAGCAGCAGCCGTGCGACGTATTTCGGCAAAACGAGATCGATTGCGGGCTGATTAGCATCCTGTTGGCCATATGCTATGATGTGCGGACGACGAACAATGAGCCGACATGTGAATCGGGCTGGACGCGAAGCATCCTCTGCCCGCTTTATTGCTACTTTGAGCAATTCGACAACTATCGGGACGTACTGGTTGCCTTTCTGCGGCGAATGATCACCTACCCGTTGTACCGCAATTTCGAGTTGGGCCGCCAATGTGTACGGGATGCCATAGAAGTTTTAAAGGGCGGGCGAAACTGGTTGATTAACCAGCTGCTGCTGACACACCAGCAGTTTGCCAGCAGTGAACCTAGTCGCGATAGCTTCAACAGCTACTATTTGGAGGACTATATCCGATATGTGACCAGTCCGAGCGCCTGCAGCGATGAGCACATGCGCCTTCTTGCCCGCAACCTTAAGAACGTGCTGATGGATGTAAAGAAGCAGCACTTGGGCCTGGGAGTCACCGAGATTGAGACTGAGCTGATTAAGGAGCTGATGCAGGAGATGCGCATTGATGCGGGGAGCGAGGGCTCCTCGCCGCAGCAACATGGCCATGGCGATGATGAGCTAGACCTTGATAACGATACTTCTGGGCAAGAGGACGAGACTACTACTGATGATGATAGCGTCATAACAGACTCCTTCGACAGCATGGACATGGACATGCGACTGATCGAGAACGAAATTGTATATGAGGATGACGAGGAGGACGAAGATGGGGATGAGGATGACGATGAGGATGGGGATGGGGATGGCGCTGATGAGGATGACGAAGCCAGCAGTTCTTCCACAACCACAAGCAGCGAGGCAGAGGGAAACAGCGTTATCGAGCAATGCAGCAACAGTGAGACAGCAGCCAGCACCAGTACCAAGTAAATTGCCACTTATGTCGAGTCCGGCAAGTCCTGCTCCTGCCTTGCCCAAAACAAACAAGCAACACAACCAACTTAATGTCAAAGAACGGAGGCTAAACAGTGATTACTTTTAAAATTAAAACAAAGTAAAATACGAAACAAAAAACAAAGCCAAGTAAATGATGTAAGTTTACACAAAAATACCCAAAAAAAAAGAACTACTTAAATCTTAATTGTACAATAATTTAACGAGAAGCCAACTCAAAGATTTGTTCACGCCAAATGCGAAAAAATATTTGAATATTTTTTCCTCTTTGCTCTACAATAACTTCGATTATAATTACACATACAAGTAAATCAGAACTTTAGCATTTAGTATGGCATTAGAGTACGAAATATTTGAATTTTGAATTCTGAAAAGCGAAATCTAGTTGTGCATTTGTATATACATCTATAATTATATAGATATCGATATTGTTGGTGCTGCAAGCAAAAAAAAACTAACAAATGATGAATAAAATAAAATGGAAATGGAAAACAACCTCCAAACTTAATCTACACTTTGGGCAAAAGTCATTAAGGATTTACATGTTAATGTTGTATGAGTGTCTTTTAAGTGAGAAAAGTAAAAGAAAATTCTAATAAAATGGATAATACATATTTTTTTACAAACATAACGTTAGTAATTTACTATTTTTACTCCGCGTATCAACAAAGCTGTCGTTTAAAGAAACAGTGACAAATGGGTAAGTTTTTCGTAGGTCTATATCAGAGAAGTTTTTTTAGTTTATATTGATGTAATTACGAACATTTGATCATATTTTTACTTTTAGTACCCTTAAATCTGAAGGTTATACTTCGGATAAGTGCTAGTGATATAGGCCTTTATATTCAACAGAAATAAAATATTAGCTTATGGTTTTATTATCTTTTCTTTATTTATCCATACTCACATACATATGCATATCTATGTACGTTTTAAAAGCTAATTTAAATATTTATGGACTGTTAATTGAAGAACGCATCGTATTGCTGGAGCTGCGGATCTGTTGATGCTGATGCGCCCTTTAATTACGATAAGTGTAAAGCTACAATTTACAAGTTAAACTAACTAAACTCGTATGCATTTTGAAATCGCCAATAGAATCGATACGCCCAGCGAGGCCAATTTTAGTTGTGGAGCTCTTGTCAATTGGTTCTTCCATAGGGTGTCTCCTTCTGTCTCAATCTCTCTCTATTTACACAAGTCGCAAATTGTTTAACAAAAGGTATGTGTTTTTAGATTACTTAACCACTACATTCAACATGGCGGCCATTTCGATTTGAAAAAATTTGTTTATCTTGCGCCGGTTTCAGAAAATTGCTTGCTCCATCTGATTTAATCTGATTGATTCAGGATTTTCACTTATATTCTTTTACTGACACTGAGTTTTTCATCCACATCTATTTCCTTCAATATTTACAAGAATCTGCTTTTAAGCTAGTTGCTTGCAGGGCATTGTGAGTCATTTACAGATCTGGAAATAGGGAGCATAGCATTAGAATCTGGAATCCTAATCGGCTTATGCGATTTACTCACTCATAGTCTCCTGTTGGATCTCCACCTTGTATGAGGGATTATCGTAGGCAGCGTCGCTTTTTCGTGGTGGCGTAATGGACGCCGTCTGATGAACTCGTCTCCTGGTGATGATCAGTAGCAGGGCCAGAGTAGACATAATGGCCAGGGCAGCGATCACAGAAACCACCACAAGGGGTCCGTAGTAATCGCCCACGGGCTGGTCCGTTCCCGCGGTTAGGAGTTTTCCTGATAGAAGCACAGCCGTGTTAGAATATTTTCAGCAAATAAGTGGGAAATCTTTACACTAAAGTATAACATATAAACATAAACAATATAAGCCTTTTTGGAACTTTAACTCAAGACTGGCTTTTGAAATTCACGACTTTTTTCCGCCTCACCAAATAGTTTAAATCCTCTACTTATTCCTTCGAAAAATTGCAAGACTTGAAACGGAATTACTTTCTAAAGATAATAATTTATACCCCTAACCCTCCTCCGACTTACCAGTCTTCCCGGGAGTGGCTGGACCACCTGGCTTCGTGATGAAGTTGACAACATTGCTCTTCTTGGTGTTGCCGTTGGTCAGGTACATTTCCAGCCAGAGGCGGTACTTGGTGCCTGGTTTGAGATCCATGATCAGGGTACCAGTGGTGCTGTCTCGCTTGGCGACCTTGAAGACGCTGGAGTCCTCCTTGCCAGCGTCGCTCTGGTAGATGGCACGATAAATGTGCACGAACTTGTCCTCAGGATAGGGCACGCCATTCCACGAGATCTCGACACTCTGGGTCTTCACCTTGGTTACGTTTACGGTCACATCGAAGCCATACACGTCCACCTTCTGGGCAGTTCGGACCTTAATCATGTGTCCGGCACGCAATTCACCTCCGTGTCCAGCCAATGGTATGTAGTAAAGCCCGATCTCGTAGCCCGTATCAGGCTGAAGGTTCTGGATGGTGTAGCTGGTTAATGTGCGATGGATCAGAGGCGTTGAGGAGTAGATCTTGCCCGTCAGCTCCTTGTAGCGCAGCTGAACTCCATCCACGTATTCCATTTGGTCGTCACCCAGTTTCTTCCATGTCAACTGCAACCAGCTGGCGTTCGTTTCGCTGACCGTCAGTTCTGGGTCCGAAACATTCTTGAAGATGTCCTCGAAGTCTGGCCTGTAATCGGGGAACGGAGGTGGCGGAGTGATGGTCCTTTCAGGCGGCGTCTTCACGGTGTAGATACTGCTCGTGGGCTGCGAGTTCAGATCACGAAGGATTAAAGTGATCTTCACCTTGTACAGTGAGTTTGGCTCAAGACTGGGCAGATCGAACTCCATCTGGGATGTGGCAATGAGGTCCTCAGGCGGAGCAAAGATCTGCTGTTCCCATGTGGATGTATCGTTACTGGGTCCATTCGAGTAGCGCAGCTCCACGCGTCCATGGAGGTTCACATAGACCTGGGGAACGGTGAAGACAATGCGAATGGAACGGGGATCGATGGCCTCCAGGGTGTGAACTTCGATATCAGGTTGCAGGTTGCTGGCTCCTAGTTATGATAATAAAAAGTGTTGATGTCAAATTGAAGCTTTCTAGGAGTTAAGGTAAGAGATAAGCAATCTTTAAGGTCGTACATTTGGACATTACAGTTTTACTTTGAAACAAAATCTTTAAAATTCGTTCGGCTTCCGAAAGATATTTACTAGTTAAAAAATTTTTAAGAAATTTAAGTGCATGCCTTCGGAGCTTAAAAAGACCCGAATTCAAATTTGATTTAGATTTTCCAATGCAACAACACATTAAGCACTTAATGTTAGTGGGGAAAACATGACAGTTTCCCACGGTGATCTTAGCTTGCTCATCTCTGACTTAGATTTAAGTTTAGTTAGTATTTGTAGCCCGACTATTTTTAAACGAGCATCGTTTGGAAATTGCTTGAGTTGCGGACTAGCTGCAAGCTTTGTTTATGATGGATGATCATTCATGCTGATGGGTGTGTAAGTGCTTGTGATGGATGAGTGTATGTCTGTTGTTGGTTTTTGGTTTTTGTGGGCAGTGTTGTCTCAGTTAGTACAGTAAAACCCTGTCGCAGTGTTTCTGTTGTTTGCTGAATAGCTGGGCAGAGTAAAGGAGAACTAAGGAGTGTGGTGGTGAGTAGAATAGTTTGTTCAACCTGACTGCTGCTGTCTGGCCAGCTTTTCCTGGTTTTGGTGCAGACTGTGCTCACTGGCCTGCGTAGAAAGTCCGGATGTAGTGCTCGAGCTAGGCAGGAATGTCTGCTGCAAGTGTTGCTGTGGGGGCGTCTGGTGTTGCTGGGGATGGAGCTGCGGTACTCCCAGTCCCGGGATCACAGGATAACTCTCATAGGCCACCGTTTGCCCATCGACAATGGCAATGCCATGTCCTGGTGGTGGCGGAGGCACTCCACTGTGCACGATGGGCACATAATGACCCGGATGTTGCTGCGGAGCTGGTAGCTGCTGCTTCTGCTGCTGCTGCTGCGGATGCTGGGACTGGTGTTGCTGATGAGGCGGCGGTGGTGATCCGCCTGGAACAGTTTGCTGCAGGTGCTGCAGTATCTGTTCGATTCTAACTTGCGGTCCCAGGTTGTGATTGTCTTTTTGCGTTTGCCCAGGATGAATTGGTGGCCCAGCATGAGCAGGATGAACCTGGTGTCCTGGTTGTTCTGCACCTAATATATTGAACAAATCGGACTGACTAGTGGGCACTGGAGGCGGTTTGCCCTGGGGTGTGCCATTGGGATTGATGTCGTACGGCTCATAGGGATTATAGTCCTCGTAGACAGGCTTCACGGGATTGTAGAAGCCATACGGACCAAGATGTGGTTGATGAGGATGCTGCTGGCCGAATGGGAAGGGCACAAATCCGCCGTTCGGGGGCAAAGGGTCTTCCTGCTCCTCTGTGCGATCACCGTCGAAAATAACATCATTCTGGTGTTGCTGCTGCTCCTGCTGCTCCTGCTGCTGCTGCTGATGCTGCTGCTGCTGATGCTGCTGCTGTTGGTGCTGCACTTTCTTGTGGCCCTTCTCCGGTTTCTCCGGCTTCTCGAAGATACCAAGACCAGCAATCGACTTGGGTGGCTTGCCATCCAAGGTGGGATAGAAGGCGCCACTTGCTGATGGCTTCTTCTCCTCGTCCTTCTTGATTTGGGGTACTTTGCTAGGTATACTGGTCGATATATTTGTTGTCGCTGTCGTTGTTGTGGTTTCTGTTATCGGTTGCATGTTGGATGGTTGATTGGTTGTTGTAGGTTGATTATTTACAAAATGCATAGCGTGAATAACAATATTAAAATTGGTTGTGATGAGCGTAGAAAATAAATGTAAAGTAAAACGAAATTAAATAGCATGTCAGCGCGATAAAAATGGCAGTAGAGAGATCAGATAAGACAACGAGAAAAAGCGCAACACATTAACAAAACAAAGTAATCAAACTAGATGCATACAAAACGAACTCAAAATGATTTTTCAATGACAAAGCTTAAGGAAATGATGCGATTTGGGGGAAAACTTTCTTGATTACGGCATGCAAACTACAAAAAAGGAAGGATTATTATGGCGTGCACATTTATTTACCAATTGCTGGAATTGAGGCATGGGTTGACGTAGCTTCCTTCTCTTCCTCCTGACCCGCACACATCCAGTGCTTGCAGCACTCGTCATCGGGAATGGGCAGCAGGCGGGCTAGTGCTGGATGACAGGGCAAATCCGCCGGAGGAAGAGCTGGAACCGGAGAACAAGCGGCCCTGCACTCTACTCGTCCATTCTCGCAATAGCAATGCTGATCGCAGCCTGTGTGAAAGAAGCCATGTTCGCGGGATATTGAAATGGAGGTGAATAAGCCAGTGAATCTTACCTGTCAGGTTGGCTGGGACAGGGGACCAGTTCTCGATCTGGACGCCTTGGTAACTACATGTCCCATTGTCGACGCAACGCATGCTCTCCGGACAGCAATTGGGCGGCGAGGGCTTAAAGTCCG